TTCATATTCATTCTTTTTGTTTGGATGCTTGCTGAACTGAGGCTTTAACTGATGGGCTAAATCTACTGCACCCTTCCTATGCTGCACATGAGTTGACTTAGCAAGATGAAGCCTTGCCAGCCACCTGAACAGCCTTCACCTAGACCAAATATACTCTAGAAAACCTGACGCTTCTGGAAAGACAATGCTAATCTCTAACTGGAACCCCAAGCAGGCACCAGATACTCTGGCTGTGCTTCAGAGACAGGGGCAACAAATTTGCAAACTGCTCTCATCCGCCTTTCCGGATGCTCTGCTGTAGCTGTTCCCTTCTCCTGATCAGCCAAGCAGGCGTCTCCGGCCCGTGAGCACAGGATGACATGGGGTGCATTTGTGCGCATGCAAGCTGAGAGACTGCAGAGTGTAGAGAAGTAGTTGCATTGAAAGAAATCCATAAAAAGAGACAATGGGACAAGATATACAGTAACTATCTATTATTTTCAAATAAAATGCTTACAGCATATATTTGCACAATTTATATATGCAAAATTTTGAAGGATTTGTACCTTCCTTGGGAATTTTTCAGGTACTTAAAGTTTGAATCCAATAAACCACAGAGCTAGGGATTGGTGCTACCTGGGCTTAATCACAGTTCAGATGCTTCCCACAGAGCACCAAAAAGGGAGATTGATAATATATACCTTATGGCTGGCTCACAAGAGGATCTTAAAGCAGTTATGAGAATGCGTCCTCATAGCAAAGTCTAACACAAGGCTTTTTCCTAAGTGTCCTGACCTCTCAAAATGGGGGAAGTCTGTTGCCTGCACTTGCTAGTTTGGGGATAGGACTTCACAGTCACTGCTCCTGCTGCTCCCCTTGCCTCCCTTCTGCTACCTTCAGGAAAATCACCACCATTATGAGCAGCATCACTACTACCATCGATGCTGCTACCAGCAGCAGTCTGCATGGCAGCTTGATAGAGTTTAACAATAAAGTTAAGCAATAGCTGACTGCTGCTAAAATAGTCGGTCTGGTCTCATGTTCTCCCACCCCCTGCCACGCTACACATTCCTGGCATTCCTCTGATCCCGAGGAGCAGTTTAGGTAGCTAAGCTCACAGAAAATTAATCCTCGTGAAAATAACAAAAAAGACAATTTTATGCGGGTCTAGCTTCTTAAACCAGCTCACTGGCTCAGCAGTCTTTAGCTGAATGCTAGTGCTAGCACAGGACCTCACCTTTCAGCAATTAGTGATTTATGTGCTTAGTTGTATTGTCAAACCATGCCCTTTCTTGCTCCATCTGCTAGCCTTGTCTAATGCAGAAACACAGGAGCAAAGGGAGCACCCGTTTGCATGTCACCAGCCACCTGAGTAAAGAAGCAATCCTTCCTCAGTCTCCGGACTTTTTCCACCACCAGCTTCCCAAGCAGAGTACACCTAGTAGACACACTGTAGAGTCATCTTTCCATTTGTTTTTACTAGCTTTCTTCACACCTTGCTTCTCTACCACACAGCAGACCAGTATCACTTCTCAGTCATACTTAAAAAATGACAAAAACCAGCCATTTGAAGCACTCTGCATTTTGCCACACTTTTCCTCGGACCCTGTACTTATCCCTGTCTCTCTGCACTGGTGTCTGATTTGCAACTTGTATCACTCTTGAGTGTAAACATCCATTCAGTCCCACCACTGCCATTTCCCAGCCAGAAGAGAAGCTTCTCTTCCCCCTTTCTCTTCCACTTTTCATTCAATCAAACTCCCTAAAACACTACTCCTCAGCTTATGTTTTGTGGCCTCCTATTTCCTCCCTCTAATAACTGCTCCCGCCAGCTGCCTCCAATGGCAAACTCCAGCAGCGACCTGGAGTTAAGTGGAAAGATGACAGGGCTAAGGCTGAAATGTGCCCCTTTAGTACAACCATCATCAAGCATTGGAGTTCTTTCTGGTTCAGTCATCCAAGGTGCACCAAGACAAAACAGCTGCTGCACCACACGGCAAGACTCCTCTGTAACCGGCAGCTTTTTCTCTGAGTTACAGAAAGCAGTATGGGGATTCCAGAGCTTAACTGCCTTCAACGACCCTAGCTGTTAACAGCAGCAACGAGGAGGCCTCAAAAACATGTACAGACCCTGCCCTGTTACTCTTCCACAACTTAAAAAAAAAGCTGTTAAAAATAGTATTTAATATTGCTTGGAGCAATGCATGGCAGCTAAATAAATAAAAGACACAGAGCTAGCTTTAACCTTCTCCCCTTAGACTTGCTATGGGCAGCACAGGAACCAAATGAAATGTAGTACATCCCTGACGGACATCTTCAGATCCCCGTGTTTAACTTCCAACATCAGGAGAGAGCTGCAGCAAGTCAGGTCATCTCAAGAAACTTCCCGCACAGGCAGGAACCTGGGATGCCTGTAAGAAGGGAAGTCCAAGGGAGTGATTCCACTGGCCTCTGAGAGCTGACATTTAAGAATATATGAAAGAACTCTAAGGACTACTGTAGAGTTTCGGGGCCATTAAAGCAACTGCTACTATCCTCTTGAGAAGCTGACATCCCAATAAATACACTGGGAAAGAGGGGAGGAGAACATTATGGTTCCCCAAGCACTTTAAGACAGCAGAGCTGCTGCAGAGCAGCCTTCCTCCTCCCCAGCTGCTCCTGCCCACATGTGCAGCAGCCTCCCTCTTCGCAGCACTAACGTTTGCCATGTGCTGTGGATGCGATCCAGGCTGCAGCTAACCTGGCAAAACAAACCTGCTCGCTTCAGCCCCGGTCAGGTTGCTGCTCTGGTTCACTTCGCAGGCTTGGGAAAGCCGGAGCCAGCAGGGGGAAACGGTGGGGACCGTGCAGCAGGGAGGCAGGACCACAACACCTAGCCTCGGAGCCTGAGGGATGCTGGAGCGAGGGGCTCTCCGGCTGCCACCACCATCGCAGCTAGACTTGATGGTCTTGAAGGTCTTTTCCAACCATCATGATTCTGTGATTCTAGGAAGCCTCCGTGCTGGCCCCTGTACGAGGAAACCGCTGCCTCACACAGGCCGGCACTTGGTCCTCCCGGACCTTGCCCCGCGTGGCCGAGCTCTCCAGGAGGGGGAGCTCAGCGCGGCCGCTCCCGGATTTGTCTCTTCCCCGCTCCCCGGTCGGCCCCGCCCCCTGGGCGCCGGGAAGGCGGCTCCGCGCGTGCGCGGCCGGGCGCGGAGGCGGGGCGGAA